AATTCTCCCAATACGGAGTAGATTGTTGCAAATACAATGAAGTCCTTTAGAATATGGCAATATCTCTCAAAGACTCAAGCAATGAGGAAAAACTCAAGCAAGAAATGATTTAGCAATCAAAACAATTGCCTTGCTTGGATATAAGGAGGGAATTGAGTAGAATCTCTTTGGATATTCAAAGGATATGTTTTTCAAAGTGTTCTCATAAAGATTATCACGAAAGTAGGTAGTATATAGAAGTTAGGGAGTGGATAGGGATGAAAAGCATTCAAAAAACTAGCCGTTTGGTAGTTGAAACTGTCGACTTATTCGAATAACTCAAGAACTATTCGAATAGTTTGGATCAATCGCGTGGCTTGAAAAAACCAGTTCCTATTCGAATAAATGGTGATTTATTCGAATAAATCTGGTTGAAAAACCAGGACTTATTCGAATAAGTGGTGATTTATTCGAATAAATCAGGTTGATTTCAGCAACAGGAAAGATCACGACTTATTCGAATAAACTAAAGATTATTCGAATAGAAAGGCAACTTCCCCACACAAAGGCTGATCTAAAATGAGTTTTAAAGGTAAGATGATGAGGGAATGAACCTTAGAGATGTCATACTCTTTAACACATAATCTAAGACCTAAAACACTACCCAACTAAGGAAACAACCTCTTCGGTCTCGTTCCTTCCACCGATGCTCAAGTCCCTTCTTCACGGACGGATATGAACTTGTTGTAACTTTGATTCTTAGCCTTGATGCACAAAATGATGATGATGTTTTGTCACCCTTTTGTCATTATCAAAAACCTAAAAGACAATGGGTAAAGGACATTGCATAAATACATATTCATGATAGCACATTGTCCAACAAGATGTGCAAGTTCTGACCTCAATTTATTGACGAATTAGACAAATCAAATTCTCAAGAAGATATCGGCCAACTCGGCAGCAAAGCAGCGGCTACCCAGCGGCCTCCGGCTCGTGGAAGCAGTCAGTTCCTACGGCGAACGGCGGCGGCGGCAGACAGTGGTGTTCTAGCGGCAGTTCTATTTCCGGTGATTGAAGCAGCGGCGCTAAAGTGGCGGCGGTAGCGGGTCAGCGATCCCTTCTCTACCGTAGCAGGTTCCCTTTCTTTGCTGCTCTCTCTTTTACGTTTTTCTTTCCTTTTCTTATTTTTTTGTTTTGCTGCTGTGCGTGCGTAATATATAAAGGGGTGGGAAGGGGATTTTCGTATCACGGTAGGAATAGGTTAGTTTAGGATATTTTCATTTTATTATTTTATTATAAAATCCTTATATTTATTTATTGAGCTGTAATGTCTATTTTACTCATCACGCTTTACACGTATGTCCAAATTTAACAAACTATATACTGTTGGTCATCATTTTACGAGATCTACCCGAAAACCTAATTTTTATTCAAAACGGACAACTTTACAAATAATTCATATTTTAGAGTAAATAAATATTATCTTTATTTTTTGTTAAAATAATGGCTAACTACTAAGCCGGATTTCGGGTCGTTACAGAAGTCATATATGGTAAGATGAAGTAGGCAAATAATTATATGAGATATTCCGTATATAGCTTTGAACAGTTCAGTCCGTAATAATCAGTTTTAAATATTTGTATCACAGTCCCATCCTGTTTGATATCAGTTCGATTTTGGTTCGTGATGAAAAAATCAATCATGTAGAACAACACTATAAACGGTTGTTGGAATTTTAGTTAAGACTGGACATTTTCGAATATAAATTCGGTAGGCTCCACAAAATTATTTTCCGAAATAATTATGGACGATTATTCTCGTAAGTGAGATAAGTGTTTCGGCATATTACACGCCAAAAATGGTGCTCGGGGCAATGAGAAATTAATCCGCAAAGTTGAACACATGGAAAGAGTAAAAAAAATTCATGTCCCACACTCGATCTTGAACCTTTCATATTCCCATATTTAAACTTGAGCATTTAATTGAATTTATGAAGGGAACACGAAAGGAATCCTCGCGCGCCGCCGCCGCCGTTCGGCCGGCTCAGCACGTCAAAACGTCTCTAAATTATGAATAGCTTTTTGACTATCTCCCGTTTCTGATCATCTTCTCTGGGAGGAGATTGACCATGTTTGCCAGTACGGGAGGCGGGCAATACTACCTTAAGGAAAGCTCCGCCGACTCCGCTTTCCTAATCTCTTGTTCGAGAAACTGCTCCGGCGACCCCCTACCATCCATCTGACGTACTTGCTGCCTCTACCCATTCGTGTTCTTGCCTCTGTTTGTCTGTGTTCAAGCTTCCCGAAGATTCAAATTTTCTTTGTTTTATTTTCATTGTAAAATCCGAACGTTTTATAAGTTCAGATTATATTTTTTTTATTCCCGCTAATATTTGTAACAACGGTTCAATACCATTACGATCTTGTATTGTACCATGATAGTTCGGTTTTTTGCCCACCCCTACTTCTCTCTATATGCCTCTCTTCATTCTCTTTCTACACTGCATTTCAGATCTCCCTTTCGGTCCACACAGATCTCCGCCACCACACTCTCTTTCCCACTGCAGTCATGCCTCCATCCTACACTGCCCAATCCATCGGCCATGGTAAGTTAATTTTATATCCTTCCCAGCATTTGTATTTGATTTTGGCTAGTTATGGGGGTTGAGAGCATGGTTGCTTTTGCAATAAAATTATGCTACTAAGTTAACATGTTAATTGCACATATTGATTTTGTTTGTTGAATTTGGGATAATTTTTTCACATCTCCTATGCTTGAGTTGGACGTGATTCACGACACTTGTGTAATTGTTTCTGTTTTTAACTTCTTTCTCCAGATAGATTTGAATTGCATTTTTTCAAGAAAAAACGCTTAAGTTGTTCAAACAATTGAAATTAGTTTAGTTTCATCGTTTGGTAATGATAAATTGGTTTTTAAATCTTAAAATGTAGCATGTTAATTGCATTTTATTAAATTTGGGATATTTTTCACAACTGCTATACTTAAATTAAATGTGAATCACATTACTTATGAAATTCTTTCTCTTTCAATTCCAGTATGTTTTTGCTTGGCATTGTGTTAATAAGCTCATGGTCTCATGGCCAAGAATTTGATTACGAGCGGTGCAACTCAAGGCTGCTACAATTTAGGCTAGGGTTGCGTCCCCCTTCTCTCATGTCCCAATCTAAGGTTGTGGTTATTCATGTTTTTTTAATGAGATTTGATATTTTAGATTATTTATGGGTCCGGTAAACATATTTTGGCATTGTTATTGAAATCACTTTACATTTGGAATGTTGGTATTGTTATCATGTTTTGACATTATCTCTTGGTTTTTTTACCTCATTTGACTGTAAAAGCATATTGTTTGGCATTGTAAAGCATATTGTTTGGCACTGTAAGCATATTGTTAGACAATGTCACACATATTGTTTGACATTGTGGTAATGTGGTACATGTCCATTTTAGTACATGGTCATGATTTATAATTTAAATCTATTTTAACTTCTGTTTCAGGAATATAAAAACATGTAACTCTTATTTTGGTATATTTTCAATGCATTGAGTTTTATCTAATTGCATTCAATTTCAGTCAATTTTAACATATTTTAACCTAATTGTAGTGATTTGATAATCCAATTTTATTAATTTTATATCAAAACTAAATACATTATTCTTTCATAACTCGTTATCCGAATTTACAAAAGATGACTAAAAAGATAAAAGTGAAACATATGTAGGACGAAGAAAGTATAAAATAATATGAAGTGATGAATTGATGATATATTGATAAATGCGATATGACAAAAAATGAACAAATATAAATTTTAATCCGAAAATAACATATATGCAAATATATCCGAAACTAAAATGTACCCTAGCCAAAATATATCAAAATCAAAATATATCCCAACCGGTATGTATCCGAAACCAAAATCGATCTAAATCGACTAACATCCGAACCAAAACTGAACCGACCCAAAATCAAAAAAATATTGAAACCAAAATTAAATCAAACCGACCGGAACATATTACATTACATATTATTAGAATATAAGAAACATTTCCTGGGCCACAACCAAAAGCTTGAGTTTTTGGTTGAATTGGTTCCTTGACATGGTATCGAACCAGGTTGGCTAAGAGGTCACATGTTCGAAACTCAACGCCACCCAGTTTTAAGAAAATTAAAGTTTCACGTGCAAGGCTTGAAAAAGACTACACCTGCACGTGAGGGGGCGTGTTAGAATATAAGAAACATTTCCTGGGACACAACCAAAAGCTTGAGCTTTTGGTTGAATTGGTTCCTTGGCATATATCCAAACTGAACTATTGCAAACTAGAAGCGATCCGATTAATTTGATTGCCACCTCTATCTACCAATATGGACATATGGTACTCGAGACTTTGGCCCGTGTAAGATTTAGGTTTAAGAATCGGTATCGGAATCGTGTTGACATGTAGTAGCAAGTAGACCTGGCGAAAAATGACCCGACCTGGTTTTGACCCGAAACCTGACCTGAAAACACTGGGTCTTGAACAAAGGTTTTGATGACCGAATCCGAAATAACCCGCTAAAAATGGGTCAAACCCGACCTGACTGACCCACTAAAGTAAGAGTTTTTCAAAATCATACACTTTACTAATCGTTTTTAATGTATAAATTTATATTTTCAGACAAAATTTTAATGATATTGTATAATTATATTACTTTTTTTCTAAAATTTAAGATTTTTATTAATTTCTTGTATTGATTTATATATCTAAAAAAATTTAGCATTTAAAATAGAATAATGTAATAGATTTAATAAATATTTTTTGATATTTTAAATTTATTTAATAGAAAACATAAATGTTAATGTGAATCTAAAAAATCAAAGTCATAACCTGTTGGGTCGACATGATCTCGATAACACTGGATTACAAACTTACAATTCTCAATTCGAACCTGAATTTACCTGAACCCAAAGTTACCCGAATAGAAAGTAATTGAATCCAAATCCGATCTGACCAATTTAAGTTTCCACAATTTTGAGGGCATCAGTGTTAATCATAACCCCGGAGCTCCACGCGAGGTCGTTCCCAAATTGGCAAGTGGTAACCTCCTCCGCGGAACCTGAATCACAGAGAGTGAAGACCACCACTCTCTCTGGCCATGGAGAGCCTTATCTGTTCCAACCCTATCTCAACCAAGCTCCCCCGCAAGCCTTTCCTTCGTCCCCTCCATCGCCCCCATCAGCTCAGCTTCGCCCCCGCAGCCGCCAACCCTAAACGGGTGTCTTCTCCTCCCTTGACTTGTGTTGACCCGCGCCGATTCGACTGGATCCGCTGCCGTTACGCATCCTCCTCATCGGCAGTGACGCCGGAGTTCCGTAACACTCGCCCGGGTTCTGTTTCTGAGCGGGTCGATTTTCGTGACGGGTCGGAGTCCCAACAGGCTGCCGAACTTATACCCGACAAACAGAAGGTGCTAACCCTAGTTATCTTGGTTGACCTAGATTTCATAATCACTTGCTTCTCTGGCTATGAATCAATATTTTCTCCTTGTTTTTTAATTGTGATTTTTCAAATCGAAAATGAGACGCTCTTAGAAAGAGCAGGCCAAACATCTGAAATCTGAATAATGGGAGAGCAATCTTTTCTCAGGAACCATACATTAGAGAGAAATGACCATTTTTAGGTTATGCTTATACGGGAAAGAAACATTCTTGTAGAATTCATAAATGGAAAGTGCATGTGTTATTATATGAATGATTGATGATGCAGGAATCTGAACTGAGAGTAGTCGTGAGAAAATAATTCTTATTTCCTGTTTGGTAAGGGCTGTTTCCCTTCACTGAAATGGCTGGTTGGATCTGCTAAATTTTTAAGAAAGGGCAGGTCTTTAGTAACATACACTTCAGCCAAATAAGCAAGTAAGCTACGTATACAACTAATAAGGAGAATAATCGGGATTAGGCTACCAAACGTTTCCTTGTACTTAAGGCAGAGTGTGTGTTTTACATCCTCCCTTGTGTATTTTCCTAAAAGAATTTTCTGCAAATGTGGTTTCAGGCAGTGCGTGCAATAGTGCTTCTCTCGGCCATATGTGTACTCTTCATTCATCCTCTCATTGCATCTCCGGCTCTTGCGTTCTTCCAAAATGCCGCAAAGTCTGGGGGATCTGTTGCGGCCTCAGGGTGGAGTCAAGCTATTAGCAATGAATTACTGAGCAGTGGGTGGACCGGTTTCTTTGCCGGGTGCCTACACACACTATCTGGTCCGGACCACCTTGCTGCTTTGGCCCCACTGTCAATAGGCCGGGGTAGGATGGAGAGTGCTGCCGTTGGAGCTCTCTGGGGTTGTGGGCATGATGCAGGCCAGCTGATATTTGGTTTGCTGTTTCTACTCTTAAAAGATAGACTCCACATTGAGATTATCCGAACGTGGGGGACGAGAGTGGTTGGTTTTACCCTTCTCCTAATTGGTGCAATGGGAATTAGGGAAGCGTCCGAAGTCCACACCCCATGTGTCGCCACCCTGGAAAACGGGTATGAGGGGAAGAGTAAGATAGGGTTTGCCACGTTTGCCACCGGGATCATCCACGGCCTTCAACCGGATGCACTTATGATGGTATTGCCTGCACTTGCTTTGCCATCTCGTGTGGCTGGTGCGGCGTTCTTGCTTATGTTCTTGGTTGGCACTGTGTTTGCAATGGGGAGCTATACGGTCTTCATTGGTTCGTGTAGTCAAGCGCTGAAGGAGAGGGTTCCTCGGATAACCGAGAAGCTCACATGGGCTTCTTCCCTTATAGCCATTGCTCTAGGGTTTGCTATCCTTATCACCCAATTTTTTGGCTTCAGCTTGTATTGATTGATTGCTTGATATCCTTCCAACATTATTTTTGGCCATTAGTAATGAACTTTTTCTCTTATCAATGTCATGAAGCACAGTATCTCTCTCTCTCTCACACACACACACACACACACACCAGTAGTTATTTTCATTTTCATCTGTAGGTTTGGAAAAGAAACAGAGAAGACCTGAAAATAAAAGCAGACTTTAATTACCTCATTGC